TGTTATATATGAGAACAGTTATTTTAATAGAATGAGTAAAGTCTACATCTGTTAAAGTAATAAATGGATGTAAAAGTTAATTTAAAACTAACTGAAGCAGTAAGAAAGGATGTATTCTGTTTTCCCTGAAATCAGGATTTTTGGTTTAGCAGTGGCACTGTAGAAGTGCAGTACTTTTTTTTTCCCCCTCCATTTTCTAGTACTGTTCCTATGCCTGTGGGGTAGTGCCAGGATTTTAAAAGCACAAATCTTCAAACAGGGCTTGTTTTTTGGATGTATACCTTCGCTATGATCTTCAGAGTGTTGTAACTCGTGGCTGTAGACTATGACTACAATCTTGATGTAACTGCAGTTTCTTGATGCGCTCAGATTTTATCTTGTAGTGCAGGCTGGACAGAGATTTCTTTTTAAATTACTTTTGGCTTCAGAGTTGATTCGTGTTTTTCAAGGCCTGCATTTGATGACCTTCAGAATTGAACATTGTCCTTGTCGTTGAATATGATGAAGGGAGGTGGATTGAATTTGGGAAGGCTTTTGTGTCCCTTATCCTTGTGACTCCTACTGGGTAATGTCTGCTTCTTGGTTGAGTTTCTCAAAGGGCACATATGTGATGTGTTTCAGTGAAGAATTTTTTCTTTTTTAACTTCACAGGGAAAATTCTTTCCTTCAGGGAATTCTGAGCAACCAGTTGGCCAGTATTGAGAGCATTTGCTACCTGTATGGCAACTTGACTTGATTTGGAACAGGGGCTTGAACTTGTTTCTCCTAGATGAGTGCCTTGCTTTTGAGTTATGTGCTGGAAGATACCTCTTTCATTACTCCTTAATGTAGGAGGAAAACAAATGTCTGAGCTTTACTTTGTCATGAAATCGAGTTCTTGTCTGCTGGCCAGCTTTGCTTTATAAATGTCATTCAGAGCACTTAACAGTGCTTAGTGAGGACTTGCTATGGGGAAAAACCTCGATAAAAATCTCTTAAGTAAAAAGGAAAAGGTAATTTGAAGATGTTTTCTGCCAAACAAGTTGCTTTTACTTACTGTAGAGAATGCAGTAGTGGCTCCTCCGTCTACTTTCACTTGCTGAAAGTCCATGGGAATATTTTGTCAGATAAGCACAGTATATTCCTGTATTAAGTGGGTACTGTTTCACTGCTTTGGGATTCCATTCACTTAGCTTAAGGCATAAAGTAAAATAAAATGCATTGTTGCTTATGTACTCTTGAGGCATGTGTAATGCAAATATAATGCTTTAGCTTCAGGCTAAAACTTGTAGCAATCAAATAGGAGACCTCCTTGTCCATCTCAATCCTGTGAGCAAAGCTTGCAGGTCTAAATGTAATGCCAGCATATTTCTGAGCACAGTCAGTGTGCACGTGTTCCACTTTTAAAATTTAGTTGAACGAGTTATGGCAGCTTTTGTTGCATTATTGGGGCGTGTGTTGTTTTTTATTTTAGTGGAGGATTGGGCTAAAGCAGTAAGAATTTTCTTGTAAAGTTGGGAATGGGGAAGGTGCTTCATGGGCTTTGTGGACAGTGCGTGTTTTGTTCTTGACAAAGCAGAGAAATACAGAAAAGGATTCTAGAAGCTGTAAGTCAAGGGAAAAGTGCCTGGGAGCTTGCAGCTAGCTTGAATGGAGATGATGAAGGGTACCAGTGTCAAAGAGATCTTCCTTTGGCACCAGAGAGAATGAGGAAATTGGTGCAGCACTGGCAATCGACCGACTGCCTTTTTTTTTTTTTTTTTTTTTTAAGTGATATTTTACTTGTTCAGACTTCAGAGATTTCTCACAAGCCTTTTGGTCATCTCTAGATACACTTCTTAGAACACCTGGAGAATCTGACCTCAGAGCACTAATTTGTAACCCATAATAATGCAAACAGGGGAACAGGACTGCAGAAGGTAACAGTAGCCTTGCGATTCAGTGCCACAGGTGGGATTACTGTGTGCTGCTGTTTTGAGGTTATAGAAGATACCTGACTGTTGTACCTTAAGGCAGTCTTTCTCATACAAGGTATGTATGCAGTGCTTGTGAAAGATCAGTTGAGCCTCTCAGAAGTGAAAGATAAATCAATTTGAATTTTGCTCTTTCAGAGCAGAGATTCAGTCCACCCTGATGTGCAAATCTATTATTTGCTAACTGTAGTTTTATGCCTGTGCATTGATAAAATCCTGCCCTGAAAATGAGAATTCTGAATTTATTTCTGCTGAGACAAGTGTACTGTTATGAGAGACAGATCTCTTCCAATTCCAGCCTCTTCTCTTACTTTCTCAGCGCAGACACAGGTGGAGGATGACTCTGTCATGAAAAAAGTGAATGAAGGAAGAGGCTGGTTCATTTCTTCTCAACAGCGGGGAGAAAACGTGCTATAGATGAATAAAAGAGGAGACTTCTGCCATCACATCTCTTCAGTCTTTTTGTTGTTGTTTAAACTCTATTTTCATGATGCCAAGGTGAAACTTATCTTCGACAGCGGTGGTAAATGCTGTTTGGTAGTCTAAGCCTCCACTGTTGGGCACACTGCTGCATCTCTTCATGCTGTTGGAGCGTTGGTCTCATTGCCACTGCTATGCTACCTCAAAACTATTTAAGCATGTCATTCATTTTTAAGAATAAGAATTTTTTTTTTCCAACCTTTCTGTAGCAGGAGACCTTCTTTGAATATGTTATATATAGACAAATACTAATTTGCTTACTTGAAGTATGAGCTAGGGGAGGGGGTTTTGCTGAGTATCTTTTGGAGATGGATTAAATCGTAGAATCAGAGTAGCTTGGGTTGGAAGGGACTCCAAGGCTCACCAAGTTCCAAACCCCTGCTGCATGCAGGGCCACCAACCTCCTCATTTAATACTAGACCAGGCTGCCCAGGTCCCATCCAACCTGGCCTTGAACACCTCCAGGGATGGGGCATCCACAACCTCTCTGGGCAGCCTGTTCCAGCACCTCGCCTCTCTTTTGATGAGAAGATTATCTACGAAAATCTGAGGAAATCTGTGGTTTTTGTTTAATATTTGTGCGATATTATAACTATGGAAATCTTATTAGTCACAACTATGTTAGTAATGTATTTGTCTTACAGTCACTGGAGCTTTCTTGGCTGCCTGCAGCAGAGTATAAGATACATGTGACAGTGAAGCACCCATGAAAGATGCTTTTTGACTTTCCACGTGTTTTGTCTGCCTATAGAAATCTGATACACACCTTTTGTTTAGGAAATAATTTTAAGGCTGTGCAGACATAGAAATAAAGTGTGGAATTTTTTCTGTCTGCTGAAAGTCTTTAACTGGCAGGAGCAGGTAATGAGTTGCTTCAGGATGATCCTACATGCAAAAGTTAGCAACAATGTTGTTCATATGTACATAAACACTTTTCTTTCTCTTTCCCTTAAGTGTGTTTTCACTTACTAATTGCCTTGTTTTCCTCTCCAGACAGTTCTTCAATGTGTACTTGAAGGTACTGCTGCACTTTTTGATCCAAGAAAAGCTACAGGAGACAATTGCCATTTTTAATGTATTTGTTTAATCAGCAGTAAAAAAAAAAAGAAAAAAAAAAGAAAAGAAAAAATGATTTTTTAAGCATATGAATGGCATACTTCTAAAACAACATAATGATCAAGGTCATTTTCTTTCAAAAGAGCGAAAACCTCAAACGTAACAGGCCTTGAAATCCCACTCTAAGAAGTTTCCAGTTTAAATATTTCAAAGCAAGTTTGTTCTTGAGATTAAGGGAAGGTGAAGATTATTTATAATAATAATAGAACAAAATACTGAATTCTATTCTCATCTTCTCTCGTTTAACACTTTGCTTTTTAGATACGCTGTTTAGCTTTCTGCATGAGGTTGTCTTTATTTTCTTTAAGCCACGATTATGTCAAATTAATTCCTCTTTTCTGTGTGATGCAGTGCTAATAACATTACTAGGCTTGCAACATCTCGGGAGCTCTTTAGTCACAAAAATGAATGCTTCAGAAAGTGAGCTTTAAAAGGTTGGACCTTTTTGTTTATAATGCCTGTGCAGATGAACTCAGGGGTGGAGTTTAAGATGTCGTGTGGATGAAGGCGGTTTGAAACTTCTATTTTTGTTCAAAGGCTAGGAATCCTAAGTCATACCATCTTGCGTGAGTATTTCAGCTCAGTATCTTCCGTAGAAATTTAATGCAGAATGGGATCAGTCCCTCTAATTGCAGAGTTTGCCTGAGCAACAAGGGTGAGGTTAAAATCTTTTTTTTTTTCCTCCCATTTACCGGTAAGCAAATTCTCTTGTAGGGAACAGAGGTTAGCTCCAACGAAGGCCAAGGAGCTGGCATGAACAACCGCTATCCATGTGGAATAAGGAGGGGTTGTAAGCTTGTGTCAAGAGTGTCTAGTTCAAGGGTTTATAAATAACAGTGGCTCTCGTCGATTCGGAAGGGTCTTGAGACTCTTTGGCCTGCAGTTGGGTGTAAATACTTTAGCTGTAGTCTCTGGATGGCAGATAGTTGTCAGACACTGAAGTGGTATCGTGGATACAAGATTCTTGATGCCGGGGCAGCTTTGATGTTGGGATGTGTGAAGGGTTTTGATTCTGCAGCCACACAAATTCCATCCTGCATCCCCTCTTCCTGCCGTTTGTTTCTGATTAAACACGATGTGAGCTTTCCCATGTCCCCTGGAGCAGCTTTGTGGGAAAGGTATGCTGTAATTGGTTTATAACCATTCATAATGACCTGGCAGCCCTGTACGGATAGCAACGGGGAGCGACTTAACTTGTGATTTATTTAGGTAAGCTACGTGGATGAAAGGTACTCCCAAGTGTACAAGTTTAGCCAGTTGCCTAATTGGACATAAATTTTCAAGTCTAGCTCAGAGAGAGGTTTTTGTTATGAAAGTCTGAATTTGGATTTATGAGCGAGCTTTCTAGACTGCTAAACCAGCTTGTGAGCAAAGTTAGTGTATTCAGTTTTGGGGCTTCTTAGTTTGGAATTCAGCCTTCTAGCATACTTTTTGTCATCGGTAAAGCTAATGACACCTTAATTTAAGAGTTTATTTACACTTAGAATACCTGCCCTTACTTTTAGCACAGTAACACGCGTTTGGATTTAGAAGCCAGGATTGGCCACGCTGCTTCGCTCGTAGTCTTTCATCAGTTTGGCGTGGTCAGATTCCTGCTGGCTTCCTCCAGGAGCCCAAAGCTTTCTCACACAACACCCATGATGCGAGCGACCCACCAGCTGCAGGGCATGATGATACGGCAGGCGGTGCGGCAGCCCTGGTAGTTGTATGGCCACGGGTAGTAGCCCAGCAGAGGCTCACAGATCCTCTGACACTGCGTGTAACTTCGCCTGCACTCGATGCAGCACACGCCTAGGTGGTCCAGCATGGGGTCAAAAGCCATCCCTTCACCTTCCAGTTGCTGAAACACAAAATATTGGTGTTATCAGCTCTGAAACCTTGGCCTTGAACTGCACAGCACTCCGAATAGCTGAGCAGTGGACCTTGCTTTTTCTCTTCTGCTTGGTAGAGATGTAGAATCAGTGCACGTAAAAATGGTAAGAAAAAACAGGGAGCTCTAACAAAATTCATTATTACTTTTCAGTCTGCAAAAGATCCAGCAGCAGTAAAACCCTCAAGCTATAAATGTTACTGATGGAAAAGACTTGAATATAGTCATAGGGGTCTTTCATGTAGATGACCACGTCTGAAGCTTATGCTGTACTTTTAATGTTTTTATGTTCTAATGTGTTTTTTTTCTTTAACTCAGAAAACTTCTCTCTTGTATTTCTTTCAGCTTTTTTCCTGAGTGCCACACTGAGTTGCTTTGTGGACAGTGGGATTTCTACCTGTTCTGTACCTGACAGTATGCAGTTGCATGGAACACAGTGTGTATGAAATATTTAAAAGCAAGCTCTTGCTTTTGCTTTCTCCCTTCAGAATCATTTTCCTATTTCTGGGGAAAAAAACAAACAAACCAAACCACCAAACAAACTGAATATTCTGATTTTGAAGCTAAATTGTTCTTTTTTTTTCAAGAACACACTGAGAAAAGCAGCAGCAAACAGCAGATGCTGGCATCTAAGTTGGCCCTGAGCGTTTTTCTCTCAGAAAACAGCAGCACACTGCAGCAGTGGGGCACAGAGGATGCATTCTCCTCTCCAGGCTGGTGTGTGGTGCTGGGGACAACTTGGTTGAGCTCAGGCCTTTGGAGTCTCCTTCCCCAACCCGATAGCAAGGGAGGGATGTTGTTTCCCTTGAGTTTTCCTCTTTGGGTTTAGATGGCAGCAGTGTGAGCTTCTGCATGAAAGCTCATCGTCCCTTTATGCAGTGGGTGAGGAGGAATAGTTGTAATGATGATTCCTTCCATCCTGGGGGAAAGAGCTACAACGTGCTTAACGGTCCTTTGGAATTAAACAAATCTGCCTCTAGGGAAAGCTTGGCTAAAGGCATCTCTGGGGTAACTGCTAATGAAGGTGAGTCCTGCCCTGCAGGATGGAGGAAGATGTGGGGAGCTGGAAGCTGTGGCTCTGGCATGTATCCCTCTGGCTGGGAGAATGAAGCTGTAGCAACTGCCCTGCTGCTGCTCCCAGAGGAAAAGGGAACTGGGGCCTCATGGACTTCAAGCTAGTGGATGCAAAGAGAAGCTGAATTGCACAGCCATTGCTATTCTACTGACCTCATGAGAGTCAGTTTAGATCCACTTTATTTGGAGTGATTAATTTGAGTTTAATTAAGGGATGTCAACTCGGCAGAATGCTGTCACAGCATAATGATCTCCTGCTGTTGCATAAATGTCAAAGCTGGGACTTACTTCCAAAGCAGGAGGCATTTATCTTGTAACAGTGCTGTATTAAAGTGACTTACTCCTGCTGCCCCAAATAGTGCACCAGTGCCAGAAAATTTACACACCAGACTAGAGGCTGCCTACTGTATGGCTCCTGCATGTTGCTTCATCTCAGAGAGCAGCAACAAATGTCCCAGTGATCACCTTCCATGTGCTACTGCTGCCACTGAGCAGCTTGCAAGAGAGCCTGTCCTCCAGATGGGGAAAGCAGGTTGAGGGAGTAGATCTCCTTTTAGGAGGAAACTCTTTGCTATGAGCCCTCTTTGCTATGAGTCCCCATCCATGGAGGCACTCAAGGCCAGGTTGTATAGAGCCCTGGGCACTGCCCACAGCATGGACTTGGAGCTGGATGGGCTTTAAGGTCCATTCCAACCCATAACATTCCATGTTTTGGCTTAACTCCTAATGTCTTTGAAATCACACATAAACTACCACTTTCTTCTTCTCTAGGGGGCTGATGCTGGTTTGTATATTTGAGGGCATGGTGTAGGTCCTAAATTCATGCTGTACATTTGTTGGGGTACAGCTACCTGATTAAGACCAGCTTCTAGTTTATCATCATCTAGTGCTTCTTAGTGGGCCTTGGAACCCTTCAAAAGCAACTTTTCATCAGCTTCTCTTGATCTTGCCACCTCAAGCACTTCATCTTGCTGAGGCTTAGTTAAAATAGGGCTGAGGGAGGGAGAAGACTGGGAGAAGACCTTTTTGAACTTGTATGTAGACACGTTTCGTGGAGAAAAACTGAATGAGCCGAGTGTGCAGATTTAAACAAATAAAAGATAAGCCCAACCATGCCATTTGTATTACCTGTCCACCACAGCCTTGTGCTCTGTGGTGCAAATACTCACATTGTATGGGTTGTCTGGGTTCAGCGTTTGATCGCTTTCTTGCTGCATTGGCCTGGTTTCATTAGGCTGGGGGCCAAGCTCTTGAGTCAGCTGGGTGGGGGTGGACCTGGTGTTCACTTCTTCAGCAGCAGCTGCTCTGTTTTCTGCACCGAAGTTTGACTCGGACTGGCGTCTATTTCTCTTCATTTCTCTCCTTTCTCTTTGTTTATCTGAAGAAGAAGTCATATTTTGAACATATCTTTGTATTTATCCACAGATCTGGATTTCAATGGTGTGTTTAATAAAAGCTAGGAGAACCAGGGAGGGAAGCCCAAACAGCAAAATGGAAAACTTGATAAGCATCCCAATGGGAACTCCTTGCTTTCTTGTGCATTATAAGGAACTGATATCATTCCAAAGTGGGGGGAAGCTTTTTCTCCCTCTTTCTTCTCTTGAAGCTAAGCTGGTGTAAGAAGATGCTTTTGGCTTCCAACGTGGTCACTGATGTTATCTCAGGAGCAGCTGTCAGCACTCACAAGGGCCATTGTATGTGCTTTTGTGGCACACTGATGCCCTGTTCCCAAGTCCAGGTGGTGAACCTGGTGGGAGCTGCTTTGATGCTGCCCTTTTGTTCCCCAGTAGGAAGTGCAAAATCATGAGGAAAATGGAAGATAATGGCAGCTTGCTTGGATCTTCACGTGCTCTCAAATGGTATTTCTTTATTTCCCCCCAGTGTTTTAAAATTAGATGAACCAAGGAGGAATAAATCTTTTCAAGCCCTCTCTTTTCCTTCCAGGCCTGGGATGTACCTGGAGATGTTGCCATCACCCTGGTAACTCCTGAACACCTTTGCTAGGAGTGGCTGTGTTTGATGACCACGCTTCCACCCAGGGTTGGCTTCCAGGACCTCACAAAATTCATCTACCAAGTTGCCAATCTGATCCCTCCACCAAAATCTCCTGGAGAGGCATTGGGAACCATGGCAGGGCATGATCTCGGACCAGTAGTTTGCTGGTTCCCAGCCCTTGGCCAGCTATGGCATTCCAGCTGCCTGAGCAGTTTGGTTCTAATGCTTTTGAAATACAAGAAACCTTACCTTTGGGATACGTAGGTCGAAGCCAGAAAATCGGAAGATCCCCACAAAGCTCTAAAATTTTGGGGCTTAGGAAACTGTTGTGCTTGATGGGCTCGTCTGCAGCCACCCAGATAAGAGAGTTTTCATCAAATCTAACAGGCATGATTTCATCTTCCTGCAAATAGAAGAGCACAAATCCTTTGCTAGTTCAGTGAGTGGCCTTCTGCCTGCCTGCTGCTAACTCTTGGGCATCAAACTGTGTAATCATCAGCTGCAACTGACTCTGTGCATCCTTTATTTCATGAATGTGAGCTGATTGTAGTGAGCCAACCTGCTGTCAGGTTTTGCTGGGGCTGTGGTTTCACCCTTTTCTCTTTTAGAATACTTTTGCCCTACGTATGAGAGATCTTCCAGGCCCAAGTGCCAGGATTTCAGTAGTAAAAACTGTGAACATCCACCAGCTTTGAGGGATAAGCAGTGAAATAGGCCAGCCAAAAATGAGACCCCATTCTTCTGTTATGCCTGCTCTCATCTGATGTGCTCCTACGCTCTACAGCTCTGTTTACAATAGATGTTTAAAAAAAAAAGTCTTGCTTGCAAGTTTTGCAGAGGATTACAGTACGAGAACTGGTGCAGCTTCCAGTTTTAAGTCAATGTGATGGCTCTGATTAAAGGTCTTGTTCAGTAAAAGCAATTCAATTGACCAAAAGCTTGAAGTGCAAGTTAAAGGAGCCTGCCTTTTTGAAGTGTACCCTGCAGGTTTTTGGTTTGTATCTTCAAAGTAACGTAGGCAAATGCCAGTGATTGATTCTTTAAAGTCGTTAGTTCAAAGTATTATTTTACATAAAATGTGTAAGTATTTTATAGCAACAGTGAAATATTAAAAGAAAACCAACTTGTGAATCATGAAAACCAGTATGATTTCAAAGTTAAAATTCTAAATTGCTTCCATAAAAGTCATCGAAACTCGTTACATAACTGACTAGATCAATTTATTCTGTCAAGTTGTTGTTCCTTTAATGTGTTTATTGATTTCTTTGTAGGTCTCGAGCCATTGAAGTTCACCATCCAATCTGTCTACTGAGAGTGGCTCTTGATTTTTTTTTTTTTTTTCCTCCCCCTTAAGTTTCCATCAGCATCAGAAATCAGAGAATCCACTTTTCCGATATAAAAATATCCTTTGTTTCTGTTTTGAAATTACCATGACTTATGAGCAGGCAGACATTGGGCATCTACGCAAGTTTATTTCCATCAGCCATTTTTATAGGCAACGTTGGTTATATGTGCTGTAAGTTGCACTGTAAGTACTCAGATCTACGTGTTTATCAGAGGGAGAACTTCCTGTAAATAGGAAAATAAATACTGCTTTGCCACACCAGTCATTCATCTAACTGGAAAAGTCAAGCAATGGGGGAGGGCCTGAAACAACTGACTTTATCTGAATGGGATGGGAGCGGTTTTCATGGAAGCTGGGTGAGTATTGCAGCTTGTGTGATGCAGCATCTGTGAAATTTAGTCAACACAGCGTTCTAAAATGAATACTGATGCGGGCTAATTAGGTAAATTCTTAATGTTTAATGTTATTTCTTCTGAGCTCGCTGCAATTTTGCAGTAACATTCAATATTTCCCGAGCCTTGATAGGTGGAGTTGTTCTAGTTTGGTAAGCATTCCCTTGGGTTTTATCCCTGTCTCTGTTTGCATTGCTTCCTCCATGCTTCCCCATCACAGCCTCCTGCCCAGCCTTTTCTCATACCCCCACTGCCCCCTGCTCATCTCCCCTCGTACCAGTAGCCCTTACCAGGTCAGAGGACAGGCTGGCCTTGGTCATGGCATCCACTTCAGGCACGCGAGCTTTGGGCTGGGCCTTGATGTAACACTTCTCTCCTCCAGCAAATCGGATGCCGGTGATGCCCTAAGGAATAGGACAGATATTTGGGTGCAGCCCTACGTGTCCCCCTGCCCCATAAACCCCTTGTGCTACCCCAGCCAACACTGTCGCTGAGCTTCTAATCTGAACATTGAGTCTTATTTAAAAACAGACACCCCAGCACACTCTGGGACTTATTCTAGAGCGTGTTGGGAGTGGCTCAGCATTGCCTACCACAGGATCATGAAGGTTGGAGAAGACCACTAAGATCACCTAGTCCAACCATCAGCACATCACCACCACGCCCACTGAACCACGTCCCTCTGCACCACATCTACCCTTACATCCAAGTCTTTGCTGGGCACGCAGTCATCCGAGCTGTGCCAATCAATCCTAGGATGCTAATGTAAACGCTTGGCCTTTGGAAGTGCCCTTCTTTCTCCCTTACATCCATTCTCAGCTCAAAACCCAACTGGCAGAGTCCATTTGCTCTCACTGAGCCTTGGGACTGTGATCAGGCACAGCCCTGATAGGTGGCAGCCAAACTTGGGGAGCTGATTTGACCTAGCTCTTAGGTCAGCCAGCAGCATGCCTGGCAGTGATGTGACTTCAGCATCTCTCTGTTGAGCTGGAGCCTTTGTGCAGACGTGGTGTAGTGAAGAGGAACAATGAGAGCTCGCTGCAGATGCCCTTATTCAGCTGCTATTAATGTTGCTATGGTGATGTTTGCTAGAGATTGGTAAAAGCTGAACTGGGCAAGCTGGGTCCGCAGTCTCCTGGCTTGGATTTGTTTGTATTTGTAGAGAAGCCATGGAGCTGGATTTCCTCTGCTTTCTGGAATAGGGAGCAGTCCTCCTGGCACCTGCTGGTGTCCTTTGCTTTAGATGCTGCTTTGACTTAGAGAGGACTTTGAAGTTAAGTGTTTTGCACCTGAGAACATTAACTACAGCATCTTGGTCCCGTGAAAAATTTCTGCAGTGTTGCACAGACAGACCTTTCATAGAATCACAGGGTGGCTTGGGTTGGAATGGACCTTAAAGCCCATTCAGTTTCAACCCTTTGCTGTAGGCAGGGATGTCACTCATTAAAACAGGCTGCCCAGGGCCCTATGCATCCTGGCTTTTATTAGCTTGGGTATGGTGCAGCTCCGTGAGCAGCTCACCTGGTTGCTGTGCTGAGATTTGGCACCTATGAGCCCAGGCTGGCTGCTGAGCCACCATTCCCAAGCAACTTGGGTACCCAAATATATTTGCTGCTGGATCAAATCACTAAACAGAGCACATTTGACACATGGATGCAGAAGTTGTGCTGCATGCCTCTGTCCCCTCCCCTAGGCTTGACCCCAGGCTCCCATCCTTGATCTCAGGGCAGAGAGCACTATAGAAGTTTGTCCCTGGTGTCTGCTTGGCTTATTGGGTTGATCTCAAATGCTGATGTTTTGGATAGGGAGGTGTGTTTCTCCGGTTTGAAACCTACAGAATCATACAAGAGCTGTGGCACAGCCTGCCAGAGAGTTTTCCTAGCATGATGCTGAGGGCGCATGTTGCAGCTCTATTTTAATGATTTGAAAGCGTGCGTGGAGCCAAATGTGGTGCAGCCTAATCCATATTGGAGAGGACCTTGGCAAGAACTACCCCTAAAGGATATGTGGACTTCATTTTGGAGGAAACTGCTGGCCTTGCTGTGAAAGCAAACCAGGAGTGCGGGGATGTTTGTGTGGGCAGTGAGGGCACAGAAACCTCCTATAAGCCAGGGCTGAGGAGCTGAGAGCTGGGATAGTGGGATGTAGGCATTGGAGAGAGGGGTGCGAGGGACCCATGGCAGTACTTACAATCTGGAAATCATGAACTTCAACAGCCTCTTCGCTCCCGCTTCCTGTTTTGAATGTCTCTAAGTTATTTCCGGCATCTATTTCCATCGATCCGTCTTGCACTTTTCCATTAATGCTCATGGTGTAGTGAACGTTGTACACCTGGAATAGATATCAGAGCAATAATGCACTAATACTTGCGTTGTCTTTTTCCTGAACCAGGTGGTGGGTCAACACAATGATCATGACCCTACTCACAGAACCCCAGCACGGTTGAGGCTGGCAGTGCCCTCTGGGTCCCTCTCCTCCATCCCCTGCCCCAGCAGGGACACCCAGAGCAGGGTGCCCAGGGCCACGTCCAGCTGGCTCTGTGAGATCCCCAAGGAGGAGACCCCACAGCCTCTGTGCAGCCTGTGCCAGTGCTCCGTCACTGCTTGTATTTGCTGTACGACCACATTCTGCGAAGGTTTTATTTGATTCTCTTGTGCAGACCAGATAAAAGTGCTACACGAGCAGCTTATTTTCAGTGTCAAAAACAAACAAACAAACAAACAAACAAATAAATAAATAAAGCCTTGCAGCACTGTAACAAAAAATTCACACTGACAGCTAGAGACAAATTTCTTCTTCCCTCACCCTCACTCAGGGAAGTTGGTGGTGCTAAAGATTTATGGTTCCCCAGTTATATGCATGCAGGCCCACGTTCTCTACTATCTCAGGCTCCAATTGAACATGGTGCACAGACCCAGACCTATGCCTGCAGCATTCCTTCCTCAGGGCTGAGCCAGATTTGAGACCTTTTATTACTGCCGTCAGTTAAGAGCGAACGTGAGGATTTACAATAAATAAATTTACCTTAAGCTATTTTATGACTGTGATTTGTAGAGTTGCTTCCTAAGCACTTGCAAGTCCTGAGCTTGGAGGCACCTTGGAAAAATGCCTCCCACCTTTCCCGATCAACCTGGAATTTGACTTGGAATCTTAATGACAGCTCTGGATATGACAGGAGTTGAACTCAATGATCCTTATGGGTCCTTTCCAACTCGGGGTTCTATGTTATGCAAACCAGGATTCGGACGGATGGGGCAATACGTAGGTGGAAATTGTCCTGCTGATGCACTGTGACCCTGCCAGCCTATGTACCCATGGATGTCATAGGATGGCCTGGGTTAAAAAGGACCACAATGATCATCCAGTTTGTGAACCCTGTTATGTGAAGGGTCACCAAACAGCAGACCAGGCTGCCCAGAGCCACATCTAGCCTGGCCTTGAATGCCTTCAGGGATGGGGCATCCACAACCTCCTTTCTCCTTTCAAGAGCCTAGAGGATGGTATTTGCAGCCTGGCTTAGAGGTCAGCAATGTGTCTTGTCTCTTTTTTTGGTGTTTAACCTTGTACTTTCTCTGACTATCTACATTATTGCTACATGCATGCGTGTATCTCCCAGGGAGCTCTGCTCTGCTGCTGGGACTTGCACAAGGACCTCCTTGATGGGACTGCAGCATGGCTGGAAGTTGTGCAAATCTTCTTCCAAAGTAAACCCAAAGATCCGAACTATGCTAATGGAGCAACCTAAATTCAGCTGGGCACCGTCACGCTTAACATATGTTTGAAATCAAAACTTAGCTAAACAGAAAGTGAACTTTATATATTAACTTGGCATAACGCTCATGATGCTTCTGAAAGTAGATTCTTAAAGTGGCCAGCAACTTCTTAGTTTTGTTCTTTGCGTGCAGTGTCTATTACTTACCCCAGAAAATGTAAACAAGAAAATGTACCATGGCTTTTATAGTTGTTCCACAGCTGTTAACCATAAATGCCTCCATGCATGCACTGTCGCACAGCCCGCCAATGGGCGAGCTGATCATGGGTTAAATATAGCACTGCACACATTGGGGTCCAGGTGGGACTTGGTCTGAGCATGCTGTGGTGTGGGGAAGGAATGCATGCGTTTCAATGCTGGTTTTGTCCTGAGGTCTGGAGTTTGCCCAGGATGTGAATCCCTGGGGAGGGGCTGGGCTTGGAGTTTGCTGAGAACGTGTGAGCAGAAATCAATGTAGTGTCTGTGCTCCTGGAGATACGTTGCACAGTCAGTAAGAAATGTGCTTCCAAGAGCCTCCATTCCCACAACCAATAAAGATAATTATTATATGCTTTTTTTTTTTTTAAGCATGAGGAAAAAAAAAAAAAACCTGCTTAAAGACCTCTTTATCGATCCTGTAAAGTTTCCAGCCCGTGCCCTGTGTTACTTGCAGCCTGTACCAGGCTGGCCGTGCTCACCTGCCTCTCGGTGGCTTTCCAGAAGTAGAAGGCGCCGATGGCCCCAGCCAGCAGCAGAAGGGCCCCAGCGATGAGCACTGTGGCCCCTGCCTTCAGTAGCCGCCCTGGCCCTGGAGGGGGCACTGCTGCCGTGTACGCCTGCAGGGAGCACAGTGCTGGAATGGGAAGCCCGACCTGGTGGGACCAGTTGAGGTCCCTATCCTAAGCCAGCTGTGATGACTGTCACGTCCCAGCCCAACCCACCAGTTCTGACCCATCCAACATTTATTTCTGTAATCAAGCACATCCTGACCCGATCTGTCTCATCCCATCCTAATCCAGTTGGTCCCATCCCAATTCACCCCATCCCAAACCATCCTACCTTGTCTAAACTCAACCCATCAATTCAGTCCTGATCTGGTGAATCCCATCTCATCCTAAACTGATCTGACCCACTGCATCCTGCTCGTTCCAATATGACCCATCCCAACCTGACACTTTCTGTTCTATCTTGATCTGTCCCACTGTGATCCAGCTGAACCCAACCCATGCCATCTTATCCCATTCTGACTTATCTCATCCCAAACAGTCTCATCCCAAACTGATCTGACCCATCCCAATCTAATCCATTTTATTCTATCCTGACCCATCCCATATTGATCTGAGCAGACTCATCCTGACCCATCCCATTTCATCCCATCCCAATTCAACCCATCTCATCCCAAACCACCTCTGCCCCATTCCTAATCCAATCTATTATGTCCCAAACCATCCCATCCCAATTCAACCCACCTCATCCCAAACCACCTCTGCCCCATTCCTAATCCAATCTATTGTGTCCCAAACCATCCCATCCCAATTCAACCCACCTCATCCCAAACCACCCCGCCCCTTTCCTAATCCAATCTATTGCGTCCTGAACCATCCCATCCCATCCCATCCCATCCCAATTCAACCCATCCCATCCCAAGTCAACCCATCTCATCCCAATTCAACCCATCTCATCCCAAACCACCCCTGCCCCATTCCTAATCCAATCTATTGTGTCCCATCCCATCCCACCCCACCCTATCCCTTCCCATCCCATCCCAGCCCACCCCAGCCCATCCCAGTGGCACTCACGGGCGGCAGGCCCTGCTCCACGTCTTCGGGACCCGCTCGGGCGATGGGTACTTTCTCCGAGCCCTCGGCCATGGCTGCGGCAGCGGCTGCCCCGGGCTCCCCGCTCCCCGCCGGGCAGCACCGCCCCGACCCGGCCCCCGCACCGCCCCTGCCCGGACAGAGAACGCTCCGCTCCCTCCGGGCCGCACCCCCGGGAGGAGGGGAGTGGGGATTTGGGGCCCCGGGGCAGCGCTGGAGAGAAGAGAGGGGGAGTGATGAAGGGGGAATGGCCATGCAGTGAATACCGCGCTGGGCTGCTGTGGAGAGGTGACCCTACAGACAGCGGTAGTAAAAACTGATTTACAGATATATTTATATATAAATATAATAGCTTTTTAACTACATTAACAAGCTTGCCAAAGAAATCAGCAGAGTGCATTTGGATTGAGGTGTGGGCACGGCGCATTGGATGGCTGCCCCACGGATCACCCCAACGTGGCACCACGGGCTGAGCTGCCACCGAGGCTCTGGGGACACGCAGAGAATGGAGGGGGGGGGGATGGGGGGAAGTCATCTTTTTGTTTGAAATGGCCACAGAGACCTCATTGCTCCCAGAGGCAGAACTGACCTCTGGACTGAAAACCACTGTGAAGCAGCACAGAAGTCAGATGTGGCCACTTTGCCTTTGCATGGCTGAGGAACAAATCCCGGGGATACCCACCTGCATTTTCTATCTGTAAGCCCAGCCCCATCTATCCTACAATGTTGATTTCTATCATTAGCCATCAGATCCTGGTCAAAAATGAACAGGCATGATTGCTGCTGAAAATAAACACAATCACAGCTCGTTAAAGCCAAAAAGAAGCACTGTGCAACTTCCTAAAGTAGGGCACATTCTAGCCCGCTCCTGAATGACACACTGTTGTAGGTTGGGGCTAATAATAAGATTATGATTCTCTTCATTAACAAGTATTTTGTTACACCGCAATCTTGTGAATGGATATGTCTATCTTGGCAAAATGTGAGAATCCCAGCCTTTGATCTCAAACCTCCATTTCATGTCTCTGCATTAGAAAGACAGATTTATTTTAAGGCCCCTGCGCACATCTCTGGTGCGGAAACGTGCCAGGGAGGTTTGCCACGGAGCCCCCCATTAACCCTTGATGTCATGCCTTACCCTGTCTGCTCGTGGGACTGTGGGGGGCAAGCCTTGCCGTTGTGATGGATGAGGTGGCAATGGGGCAAACGGGGCTGGGGCAGATGCACACCCGTGCAAACAGACCTACATTCAGTCACTGCAGAGCCTGGTGTTTGTAGGGCTGAGGACAAAAACAGCAGCTCGCCTTTCACCAGCTGAATTCTTCATTTGCAATGAAGATAACGCCGATAGTCGCGTCTGAGCGCCGTCTCCTCTCTAAATAACATGTGTGTGCTCAGCTGGATTAAGCCAACTTCTGAGGCTGGAAATCATAATAACAGTCTTTTACAGGACAGCTTTTCTGGTCGTCTGATACCATTATCCTCTGGGCTGAAAAGCATTCCAGAGTACTTGGAGAGCTGCAGTGAATGTGAGGTTGCTTAGCTGATAGCACTGGCTTGTCTCAAGGAAGCACATTTTCTCATTATTTTTCACAGCTCTGAAAAAAAAAAAAAAAAAGTTTAGGAGGGGAAATGGAAATATTAAAAATGAGAACACTTTGGTCTGGCTGCTCACTGCACCCTGCCTTTTGGTAAGTCTCTTCTGCTTCCTTATGTGCTTTTATCTCCTTTTTCTAAGTGTTCCAAATAGTTTTTTTGAACTCTGCCATGGCCTGAGTGGAAATTCATGAGGCCAGGCGCTTTCCCATACTCTTTTTTACACCAGCATGACCATAACCTTGTTAGTGACTCCCACCTACTCGACGTCTCTACTTGACCTCTCTTAAGAATAACCAGAGTCCTCCGGAGGGAACAAATCCTACAGAAAAGAGAAAGGAGATGTTGGTTTTCATATTTAACCCATCACAATCTGAGATTTTGGAGGAAGTTTAAGGATTCTTCCCTGCAATGGGGCCAAACAGCTGAACTAACAGGCATGAACATCCTCACCAAGGTCCCTTTGGTAACCCAGGATGTAGCCCCACCTCAAGGGTTCACTTTTTCTCCTTACCCCCTCACTCCATGCTTGCCCAGTGTGGTAAAATGTGAAATTTCAGACACCCAAACCACTGTTTGTTCTGTGCAAGGCTCTCAGAAAGCCCCGCAATGTCCTTCGCCACGAGACTTTGGGAGAAGCTGGCATCCCCCATTGCCCTGCTTGGGCACATCTCCAGCAAGACCACAGTGAAGGCACAGAGATGCACTGGAGCTGAACCCTGCTCTCAGCTCACATCTTCCCCATCCATCCCACATATGGCCCATCACACTTGGTTCCTCCTCACCCCAGGACACAAAAGGCAGATTTGTTTTTCCCCAGGGTCAGATTTCCTCTATCCATATGTCTTCATCATATTCTTCCTAATTTAGCCAGTGGCTGTGCCTTCTGTTTGCCTTGAATCAGAGAAATAAAATGAAATAAAAATAACTAGCTGTCATTATGTGCTTTCCTTTCTACCTTTAACAATGTGGTCTCTTTTGTAGCTATCCTCTGTAAATTGCTCATAGGCTACTTCCTTTCCTAACCTCAAATCAGGGCTTCTGCTTTAGAGGTAGTTATTATCTTAAACAACTTAGTAGTGTCAATCTCCTTTCTTTTTCCCAGAGGCTTCTTTCCACTTTGATGAGAACTCTGATAATTTTCTTTTTGTTTCGTTGCAAAGGCCAAGCTTTATTTTCTCATCCAAGAGCTCCCATGAATCAATTATATTTCTCTTTTCTGATCTATGCACCATTCCACTAATAATTCCGTGATCTGACTCAAGAGAATACTTCCAATGAGATCACCTCAGAGTCATCTCCAGTGCCAGAATATTTTCCACAAATACTGCCTCCTGAAACACGCATTTTACTCACCCTTCTGAAAACAGATGAAGCACCTTTATTATGTTTCTTTGGCCTTTGTTACCTTTTTGAGATGTTTGTGTGGATTGATTGTGGATTGATAATCACCTATTCACCTGTGCTCTGTCCTTTCATTTAGTTCCTTGCATCAGGCTTTTCTGGTCTGCTCTATAATCATAGAATCGTGGAATCACGAAGGTTGGAAAAGATCTCCAAGATCATCCAGTCCAACCGTTCTCCTACTGCCAATATTTCCCCACTAAACCATGTCCCTTTGTACAACATCTAAATATTTCTAATATTTCTCCCTCTGCATACAAATCCTTATAAAACAACAAAAAAACAAACAAACAAAAAACCCCAACCAACTAAATAGGTAATAAAAGAGAATAGTTTCTTACAAAAAGGAACACAGCAGATTAAAGAAACTAAACCCACAGGTGAAACAGAACCATTGAAAAGCAGCACCCCTACCCTTGAGTTGGCTTCTCCTCAAGAATGAGTGTGGAGAGCATGATGTATCGTTTCATAGAACCACATCATGGCTGAGGCCTCCAAATTTGGTGAATCTGGCCTTTGCCAACAGCTCTTTGCACATCAGGGCATGGTCTTTGCCCCCCATGCTGCTTGGGAAGGCACTACCTGTGCTCCCTGCTCCAGTGGCCCTGAGCCCAGGTCTGCCTTGAATTCATAGAATCATAGCATCCTCTTTTCCTCATTGCCAGAAGCTGAGCAGGGAGGAATAGGGAAGAACAGTATAATTTCTGCCAGTAGACACCTCTTTAATTGGGAAAATACATCTGTTATTCACGCATTAGCATGGAACAGTGTGGAACTGATGGTGTCATACCACTACAAACAGCAAAAAGCAGCAGCAATAATAATAAATTTGGCCCTGTTAGGGTCCACACTGCTTGTCCAGTGTGAAGAGCTGAGGGGAGAAAATGCTTGAAGAACAGCATGACAAAAGCCGGGGACCTTATTCCCTGCACAGCCCTATTTCCAAGGGCTTTTTCCATGGCTCCATGGTCAGCGATTTCTGTGACATTCCCAAATTGTTAAAGGGCAAACTGTCAAATACTTTAAGCTCCACACTTTATGGTCTGTCTATATGGGGCCGCAGCACTGCATGGGGCAGAGCTGAGGAGCGTGAAACCAGACTAATTGGAGGGGGGCAGAGGTGGCCTCCATGGCCTCGCCAGCAAGATTTTCCTCTCGCTGACAAACGTTGTGTTGCTGCCTTGAGGAGCTCACCTGCCCTTGCACAGTGTGACAGAGGCAGTAATGACTTCTCTAAAGAAATTTCAGGGTTGTTTGGGAGAAAAAAATGAGTTAATTTGCAGAGAAGGTAAATCATCCGCAGTATTATGCTACCTGAGGCCAACAGGACCACCTCTATCTTCCTCCCCTTGAGGTGCAAATGGTCTTGGTGTCCAAGAGAAGATGCTTAAGTTGCTTTCCTTGTCTCTGCCTGTGGAAAGCAGCCCCAGAGCTACATTGCCCAAAGCAAAATCTGTTCTTCATGGCTGGGAGCTGCTCTGTGGGGATGCTGCGTGTTGGGCAAGCTTGGCCTGATGAAAGGAGTTTTGTTCCCTGATGCATGTGCTTGTTTGCTCTGAAGGAACCCGGCTTCCAGCTGCAGTAATGCTGGCTTTAGGGACGGAGGAGGCTGATGAAGCCTCGACTCTGTGGTTGGGGTGCAGCCGGGTGGTCCCTGGTGCAATGAATTAGTTAATGTGTGAAGAGACTGGAGGAAGGTGTAAAGCACTGAGCATTTCTCTCGACTTCTTAGGATAATGGGTTTTAAAGATCAGCTTGGGTTTGCCTGTGATGTGATTTGTTTAATTATTTAAACCTGTTAGCATATTTTCCTCAGGGGATGGAAAATCCTCAGTGAAGGATCTTCTTTACAGGAGAACAGAGATCTCTGTTGTATGCTGAGGGGCTCACACCCAGCCGTCCGCATCGACCCCAGCACAGGGCATGGTGGAAAGGCTGTGCAAATACCACCTTCCTGACCCCAAAGGATGACTCATGACAACCTCTCCTCCACAGCTACCAGATGTCAGACACTAAAGGGCACACTGTAGGGTGTCTGGGATTGTGAGTGGTAG